CAAACCAGCCCTACAAGAAATACTAAAAGGACTGCTTTAAGGAAAGGAAGGAAAAGAGAGAGACACAGAGGAACACAGGTACAAAAATGGCAGTGAATAAGTACCTATCAATAATAACCTTAAATATAAATGGATTAAATGCTCCAATCAAAAGACACAGAATAGTTGAATAGATAAGAATGCATGACCCACACATATGCTGCCTACAAGAGACCCACCTCAGGAAAAAAGACCATCACAGACTAAAAGTGAAAGGCTAGAAACAAATTTTCCAAGCAATTGAACAAGAAAAAAAAAGCTGGGGTAGCAATTCTCATATCAGACAAAATACACATCCAAAAAGGGCCATAAAGAGAGACCCAGAAGGTCACTTCATAATAATAAAGGGAAGAATCCACGAGGAAGACATTAACATCATAAATATATATTAACCCAACATAGGAGGACCCAAATATATAAAGAAACTCTTAGAGGAATTCAACAAAAATATTGACAGCAACACAATTATAGTAGGGGATTTTAACACCCCACTGTCAAAATTGGACAGATCTTCCATACAAAATATCAACAAAGATATTGCAGCATTAAACAACATCCTAGATGAAATGGACTTAACTAATATATATAGAGCCCTTCATCCCAAACAAGCTAAATACACATTCTTTTCAAGTGCACATGGAACATTTTCAAAGATAGACCACATGATAAGAAAAAAAATGAGCCTCACCAAATTCAAGAAAATGGAAATCATACCAAGCATTTTTTCTGACCACAAGGGACTGAAATTGGAAACCAACTGAAAAGGAAAAAGCCCAAAACACCCAAAATCATGGAGACTGAATGGTATGCTATTAAGCAACGAATGGGTAAAGACTGAAATTAGGGAAGAAATCAAAAAGTTTCTGGAAACAAATAAAAATGAACTCACAAAAACCCACAACTTGTGGTACACAGCAAAGGCGGTCCTGAGAAGGAAGTTTATAGTTATAAAGGCCTACCTAAAGAAGATAGAAACATTTCAAACAAACAACCTAACCCTACGCCTGCAAGAACTCAAGGAACAACAACAAAGAGAGCCCAGAGCTAGTAGAAGGAAGGAAATAACCAAGATCAGAGCAGAACTAAATGACATAGAGACTAAAAGCATAGTTCTAAGGATCAATGAATCCAGGAGTTGGTTCTTTGAAAAGATAAACAAAATAGACAAGCCTTTAAGCAGGCTCATCAAGAAAAGAAGAGAGAGGACACAAATGAACACAATCAGAAATGAAAGAGGAGAGATTACAACTGATACCACAGAAATAGAAAGGATAGTAAGAAATTACTATGAAGAACTGTATCCCAAGAAATTTGAAAACCTAGGTAAAATGGACACATTTCTAGAAAAATACAATCTTCAAAAACTCAATGAAAAGAAGCAGAAAACCTAAACAGAACAATAACAGCAAATAAAATTGAAGCAGTAATCAATAATCTCCTGTCACACAAAAGCTGTGGAACAGATGGTTTCACAGGAGAATTCTACAAAGCATTTAAGGAAGAGCTGACCCCTATTCTTCACAGACGATTCCAAAAAATCCAAAAGCATGGAAAACTCCCGAAGTCTTTTTATGAACCCAGCATCATCCTAATTACAAAATGAGATAGAGACACAACAAACAAAGAAAACTTCAGGCCAATATCAATGATGAACATAGACACTAAAATCCTCAACAAAATATTGGCAAATCGCATCCAACAATATATCAAAAAGATCATACACCATGACCAAGTGGGATTCATCCCAGGTATGCAAGGATGATTCAATATTCGCAAATCAGTAAATGTAATACATCACATAAACAGAAGCAAAGACAAAAACCACATGATCATATCAATAGATGCGGAAAAAGCCTTTGATGAGGTACAACACCCATTTATGATAAAAACACTCAGCAAAGTGAGAATAGAGGTAGCATTCCTCAATATAATAAAGACCATATATGAGAGGCTTACAGCCAATATCATACTCAATGGGCAAAAACTAAAACCTTTTCCACTAAGATCAGGAACAAGACAAAGATGTACACTTTCACCAATTCTATTCAATATAGTATTGGAAATTTTAGCCACAGCAATCAGGCTAGAAAAGGAAATAAAAGGCATCTAAGTTGAAAAGGAGGAAACAAAACTGTTGCTGTTTGCAGATGACATGATAGTGTACATGGAAAATCCTATAGACTCTACCAAAAAACAGCTTGAACTAAAAAATGAATTTGGCAAAACAGCGGGTTACAAAATCAATATCCAGAAATCAAAGACATTCTTGAATACTACCAATGAATCAGCAGAAGCAGAAATCAAGGAAAAAATGTCCTTTGATATAGCAAAAAGAAAAATGAAGTATCTGGGAATAAACCTAAACAAAGGTTAAAAACCTGTATGCAGAAAACTACACAACACTGAGGAAAGAAATCAAGGAAGACACAAACAAAAATGAAACATATACTGTGTTCATGGATTGGAAGAATTAACATCATCAAAATGTCAATACTACCCAAAGCAATTTACAAAATCAATGCAATATCTATTAAAGTACCAATGGCATATTTCACAGACATAGAACAAACACTTCAAATATTTATATGGAACCATAAACGACCCCGAATAGCAGCTGCACTTTTGAGAAAGAAGAACAAAGTAGGAGGGATCACAATACCTGATATCAAACTGTATTACAAGGCCACTGTAATCAAAACAGCCTGGCACTGGCATCAAAACAGGCACATAGACCAATGGAACAGAACAGAGAGCACAGAAATCAACCCAACTCTCTACAGTCAACTAATATTTGACAAAGTGGTAGTAACATAAAATGGAGTAAAGATAGCCTCTTCAAAAAATGGTGTTGGGAGAACTGGACAGCTACGTGCAAAAAAATGAAACTTGAGCACCGGCTTACACCATACACCAAAATAAATTCAAGGTGGATAAAAGACTTAAATATAAGCTGTGAAACCATTAAAGTCCTAGAGGAGAACATTGGCAAGAAAATCTCAGATATTCCACGCAGCAACATCTTTACCAATATGTCCCCTAGAGCAAGGAATATAAAGGAAAGAATAAATAAATGGGATCTCATCAAAATTAAAAGCGTCTGTGTGGCTACAGAAAACAGTATTAAATTAAAAAGACAACCAACTGTATGGGAAAACATATTTGCTCATGATACCTCAGAAAAAGTTTTAATCTCCAAAATATACAAAGAACTCACATGACTTCACTCTAGGACAAATAACCCAATTAAAAAATGGGAAAGGGACTTGAACAGACACTTCTCCAAGGAGGATATACAAAAGATCCAGAGACACATGAAAAGATGCTCAATATGGCTTGCCATCAGATAGATGCAAATTAAAACCACAATGAGATACCACTTTACACCAGTCAGAATGGCTATCATAAACAAAGCAACAAACAACAAATGTTGGAGAGGTTGTGGAGAAGAGGTGATCCTAATCCATTAATGGTTTTGAATGCAAACTTGTACATCCATTATGGAAAACAGTATGGAATTTTCTCAGATAACTAAAAATGGACCTGCCTTTTGACCCAGCAATTCCACTGCTGGGATTATATCCTAAGAACCCTAAAACACCAATCTCAAAGAACCTATGCACCCCAATGTTCATAGCAGCACAATTTACAATAGCCAAGAGTTGGAACCAACCTAGGCTCCTGTCAGTAAATGAATGGGTCAAAAAATTATGGTACATATACACAATGGAATTCTATGCAGAAGAGAAAGAAGGAGCTATTACCCTTTGCAACAACATGGATGGAACTGGAAAGCATTATGCTGAGTGAAATAAGCCAGGTGTTGAAAGACAAATACCATATGATATCACCATTAGCAGGAAGCTAAACAACAAAACAAACAATCAAGAAAAATACAAACAAAGACACTGAAATAGAAAACAGGGGGAAAATGACCAGAGGGGAGGGGGGAGGGAATTTAAGGGGGAACAGGGGGGTATTTAGAGGAAGAAGTATAAAGGACACAGGGACAATAACTAAGAGGGGTGGAAATCGGAGGGAGGTAGGGAGCACCGGGCAGGGTGGGCTGGAATGGGAGAAATAGACAGAAAACTGTACTTGAAAAATAATTAAACAAGTTAAAATGTTTAAACATTTTTTAAAAATTTAAATTTTTTTTTGTTTTCAACACAAAGTTACTCATTCAACAAAAATTTATTGAGCATGTAATAACTGTCAGGCATACTGAAAACATAATATTTTTTCCTGTATGATAATTAGTAAATCAGATATCTGATACTTAGTATTAGTCAGATAGTCCATTAAGATGGGGGTATCCTATTTCTATTCTCCTCTTCAGTCTTTGCTTTGGCAACAATGGAGACTGATAGGAGAAGGGAAAGTCTTTGGAAATGACTCACAAGCCATCTGCTTTTTGGCTCTACTGTGCTCTCCCATACTCCTTCAATCTGCTCCAAATCTCTCCCATTGCTTACATCTACAGGAGTGTCAGTTTCCAGAAGTCGTTTTTACTCCCCCTCAAAACACTTTACATCACCCTCGTCAGTCCATACAGGACAGACCTGTTTGAAAGGAACAGACTTGGATAACACCATTGGCTGCTCGACTGGGAATCTCCACCACAATGCTTTCTTCACATGAACTATCAGTAGTAATATGTGTGTGGTGATTGCAAAATGTGAAAGGAGAGGTCAAGGAAAGTGTAATTGAGGATAGGGAGCAGATGTGCTGGGGAAAGAAGGGACTGACACTCCTGATGAGGGTATATGCTTTTATGTAAATAGGTAGGGAGAGCAGGACAAGAGATGGATTTGGCTAAATGCAGGATGGTGATGGTAGGAAATTCATCTGAGACAAAACTTCTCCATAAAACATAGCTTCAAGGCCCTGCCACAAGAAAAAAAACATTTTATTTGATTTGTTATACCATCTTTCCCTTTTACTTTACCAAGAACTATACTTACCATGTCAGTGTCTGACACAGGGCCAAAACTGGTCACATAGATATCAGTCTTCACTTCAGTCACTGCATCTGGGCCAAAGAAAGTAGAAGAACAGAGTGTCATGAAAACCTGTTGTCTTAGCTCTGAGAGAGACCAGTGTAGTACTCTGGATGACAGCTAACTTGCTACTTCTGAGAAAGATATTAGTCACAGTCAGAGGGAAACCCCTGAAAAATCTCTCACCTGTACTATTACTTCATGGAGGACATGCTAAGTACAAGTATGAAGTCCATCCCTTTAGGTATAATTTAGAATGACAGCAGAATCCTGAAGCTTACGGAGAGCTTTAGAGATCTCTGGCATTCACATGCATTAAGCTGTCACACTGGGAGTACCCTTACCTGCAGTAGATCACCAATATTCCAGTATCCAACTCTTTTCTACTCCCAGGAAGATAAAATGACTGCACTCCAATTTATCTTCCCACTTAAAGTAGGGATACACCACATGACTTGTTTTGCTTATGGGAGGAAGTAATGTGTGCTCCTCTATGGCTGAAACAGTTAATGTTCCATACTAGCCCCTAACTGCTATGGTCATCATGTAAACACTTGTTGATGTAGAGCTGCCATAAGACAAACAGCCTGGAATGATGAGCCAACATATGAAGGACAATTGCCCTAAAGAGTTGCCTGGATCTACAACACACTTTGCATGATTGAAAAATAAATGTGTGTTAGATTAAGTGACTGAAGTTTGGAGATGATTGATACTATCTGATATATGCTCTTTGCATTTATTTTTCTTTTGTGTAACTGTCTGCTTACTTGTTTACCTTCCTACCTAATGCAAGAATCCCTGAATGACAGTTTCCCTATTTTGATATCTCTGTATCCTCAGTACCTAGAAAAGGAACATAGAAAAGTAAATAGGACTCTCAAAGATGGGGGAGAGGTAGGTGATAGCAGAAACCACTTGCCCCTACACCCAGCTGGAATACCTAGCTGATCTGAGAAACAGAGTGAAAAACCAACAGCAACCAGTTTATATGAAGTTTGAAGGCCAAACTTGTAGAGGATGTTGAAAATGAGACAGTAAAGAGATCGGATTGGGACAGTAAGGTCCCAGGGACCTGCATGGGGACCAAGGCTGCTGTGGTCCCCAGCTTGGTGTCTGCTGCAGGATCCTTGGAGGAGAGCCAAATAAGCAGCTCCCTCCCATACCAAAGCAGGGAAGACACTGTGGCACCAGAGGAGTTCTGGATGCTTGAAGTCACTGGGGGGAATAAAGATGATGTGGGTGAGAAACAGAGGTGGTGTTCACTCACTGGAACTGTGGATGCTAGCTAGGTCATTACCAGAGAAATTGGGGAGTAGTTGACACCTGGAAAAGGGAGAAGGGTTGGGCCATGTCAGACCCTGACCCAGATAGTTTCCAGTCTGGCTAGAAAGTTGGCCTGTGTGGACAGCTCGGTGCTTGTTAATAATGGCAGGCTTAAACAAGAGGCTTTTACTCAATAAAAGGCTCTCAGCTGCTGTTTTGAGGGAATTTTTGCCAGGTGCCTGGCTCCTGCCCTTGCTAGCTTGCCCAGTGGCTGGCTCATTCTTTTGCTGACTCTCTAAGAGGAAGAAGAAGGTGCACTGCAGGGATCATTCAGAGGAGGTCAGCAGGGCTCAGGGAATTAGCAGTCCCCAGAGAGACTTAATTTGGTGCAGGAGCTGAACAGCCCTGAAGAAACTGAGAGGACACAGCATCTAGGTCAGCAAAGAGGGAGAAGGTGGTGAGTTCCTCCAAATTAGTACACCTAAAGGGCAGCACACTGGTGGATTAAAGGTGTTGGATGGGCAAAGAAGGACAGTGGGGGCCCAGCAGCACATGGAGGACCTGGGCTGGAGGCTGAGCAACTGTGAATATTGTGGCCCAGACCTGGTCCCCAACCTCCCAAAACAATAGAAAGGGAGAAACCCAAAGCCCAGCCTACCTCTGCCTACAGCATCCAGGAAGACCAGCAGAACTATCTTAGCAGGTTTAAAGTCAACAAGAGGCTTTTTTATTTTCCCCTCTTTTTTTCTCTTTTTTCTTTTTCTTTTTTTCCCCCCAACTGAGATAATAAGATCTGGAGCTGTGAAAGGTTCAGAGAGAGATCCAGAGAGGGAGCACAAGGCTAACCCCAACAACTGAGAAACTGAGACAAATTTCACTTTGCTATCCTATAGAACTTGCATTTTATTGTTTATTTGTATTGTTTTTATTTTTATTATTTTTACTTCTTTATTTCATTAGTATTATTTTCTTCTTTCTGTTTAGGTTTTTTTAGTTTTATTTGTTTAATTACATTGTCTGACTGGTTTTCCTTGTTCTCTCTTTCATATTATATTTTAATTTTCCTACTTTCACTTCACTCAGGTTCCAATAACACACTACTCTTAGTTGTATACTTTCTATTCTTGTTATTTATATCATACATTTTTGTCATATTATTGTTGTTCCAGTATTATTTTAAATACTTGTTGTTCCATATAATTGTAAACACTACATAGCACCCTTCCCTGGTCTTAGCCCATTTCACTAACTTCTGGATCTTTATTACTGTTGTGGTTAACTTTATTCTCTTGCACACTACCCCTACTTTCTATTCTTTACTCACTATATCTCATCATCTGACTATGCACAAGTGCTGTTTTCCGGACTCAGCTCACAATCCTTCTCCCCTCTAACAAGAGTCTTATCTCTTTTTCACTTTTATAAAAAGTGGCTAGTTGAGTGAAATATCACAGTTGATGCTATACTTACCAAAACGATCTCCTGTCTCTTCTCTACCTATTGGTACTTCAAATTCCATATAATGCTCTCTTGCTGTCATAATTCATTTTGCCTCCCCCCTGCCACTGATCACATACAAGATCAGGTGGGGGGAACACCAATATACCTGCTGAAGGAGAAAACTCACCAACAAAGGAACCACCAACAGGCAAAAACCCAAGCCAAACAAGAAAGCCCACACAAAGAGAAGAAATGGTAATCCTAGGGTATCTAGACAAGGAGATCAGAGAGACCACACCACTGAATCATATAGAATTCATACCATAGAAGTTTAATCTACAAAGACAGCTAGCAAAGTTGAACATTAGGGAGAGCAGAAACAAACAAAAACAGTCACCTAAAATGGGGAGACAGTTAAATAACCTGCAGTCAAAAGGAATGGAAGACCCCCCCAATAAAGATCTAAATGAAATGCAGGTAAGCAAATTAGCAAATATAAAATTCAAAATAATGGTTATAAGGATGCTCAAGGAACTCACAGACAACTATGTGAAACTGAGTGAAAACAACAACAGCATGAAAAAGGAAATACAAACTATAAATAAAAACAAGAAATAAATGAAAATACAATTTCTGAAATAAAAAACACACTAGAGGAATTAAAAGCAGAATGGATGAAGCAGAGGACTGAATTAGTGAGCTGAAAGACAAGGTGGAAAGAAACACCCAAGTAGACCAGCTGCATGAAAAAAAAGACTCAAAATATGAAGAGAGCTAAGGGAACTCAAGATAACATGAAATGCAACAACATTCTAATCATAGGGACACCAGAGGAGAAGAAAAGGAACAAGGGATAGAAATGCTGTTTGAAAAGATAATGACAGAAAACATTCTAAGCCTGGAAAGAGAAAAAAAATGTATGTTCAGGAAGCATGGAGAGTCCCAATGAAGATGAACTCAAAAAGGCCTACTCAAACACATATCACAATTAAAATGCTAAGTTTTAAAGACAAAGAGAGAATCTTAGAAGCACCAAGGGATAAACAAGAAGTAACATACACAGGGGCTCCAATAAGGCCAGCAAGTGATTTTTCAACAGAAATATTCCAGTACAAGAGAGAATGGCAAGAAATATTTCAAGTACTGAAAAACAATGCTCTGCAACCACCCAGTGAAGTTCTCAATTAAAATGGAAGGAAAATGAGTTTCCCAGACAATAAAAGGCTAAAAGGATACATCTCCACCAAAACAAGAGTACAAGATATCCTAAACAGATTGCTATAGGACGAGGAAGGAAAAGAGTGAGAGAAAGAGGAATACAGTTACAAAGGGAGGAAAATGAATAAATACCTATTAATAACAATCTTAAATGTTAATGGATTAAATGGGCAAATCAAAAGACACAGAATAGCTTAATGGGCCCTGGCTGGTGTAGCTCAGTGGATTGAGCGCGGGCCTGCGAACCAGACAATCGCGGTTCAATTCCCAGTCAGGACACATTCCTGGGTTGCAGGCCGGTTCCCTGCAGGCCAGTTCCCAGCAGGGGATGCACGAAAGGCAACCATACATTGATGTTTCTCTCCCTCTCTCCTTCCCTTTCCCTGTAAAGATAAATAAATAAAATATTAAAAAAAAGAATAGCTTAATGGATAAGAAAAGATGACCCGCACATATGCTGCCTGCAAGAAACCAACCTCAGGACAAAAGACCTACACAGATTGAAAGTGAAGGGTTGGAAACAAATTTTCCAAGAAAATGGACAGGGAAAAAAGCCAGGGTAGTAATTCTAATATCAGAAAAAATAAACTTCAAAACAAGGGCCATAAAAAGAGACCCAGAAGGACACTTCATAATACTCAAGGGAAGAATCCATCAATAAGACATAAATATTATAAACATATATGCACCCAACATAGGAGAACCCAAATACATAAGGAAAATTTTGGAGGATTTCAAGAAAGATATTGACAGCAACACAATTATAGTAGGGGATTTCAACACACCACAGTCAAAAGTGGATAGATCTTCCAAACAAAATATCAACAAAGATATTGTGGCATTGATCAAAGTCCTAGACCAAATGGACTTAACTGATATGTATAGAACCTTTTACCCCAAAGAAGGAAAATATACATTCTTTTCAAATGCACATGGAACATTTTCAAAGCTAGACCATATGATATGACACAAAACAAGTGTCAACAAATTCAAGAAAATTGAAATCATATCAAACATACTCTTAGACCATGACAGTTTGAAACTAGAAACCAACCTTAAGGAAAAAAAATCAAAAACAGTCAAATACTTCAAGATTAAATAACATGTT